CATGAGTTGTTGGCGTTATAGGGCCACATACATCAGTATGAATTATTTCTAAAGGTTTGTTAGCTTTGGTGCGTCCAAGACTAAACGGCAGCCTATGTTGCTTGGCCATAGTACAAACTTCACATTTATTTAACTCATTATCATTGATTAGGTTTATTCCATTAGATAATTCAGATAATCTTTTAAGATATTGATCATTTATGTGCCCCAACCGCCTGTGCCACAAATTAGAGTTAATTTTTGAACAAAGTAATGAATCTAAATAATTTTTATTATCAAACTCAAACACTATTTCATACAACATACCTTTACGAAAACCCTGTGCATAAATTCGATTACCTTGCATAATCAGTACCTTATTATCATCAAAAACAACTTTAAATCCATTTTTTTCAATTTTTCCTACGGATAATAAATTTTTTCTTAGATTTGGTACATAAATTACATCCTGAATTGTACACGCACACTTCCTTCCATTGACATTACACATTGCTTTAATATTTCCTATATGTGTGCCTTCTAATTCTTCACCAGCTTTAGCAACTCCAATTTTAGCTATGGAGTCTAAAATTTTGACATTACTTAAAACATTAACATCATTCACTAAATGATCAGAAGCTCCAGAATCCACGTACCATGTCAACACTTGGCTAGTTTCTTTGAAGTTATTTACCATAAATGCTATGTTACCAGATTCATCTTCGTTATTCATTTGAAAATCTTCTACATTATTTGCTCGCTTTTGGTTATACCATGTGTTTTTATTTCTTCTAGGTTGTCTTGCACGGCTATGTGGGCAATTATTTTTAATGTGACCTAGTTCGTTGCAATTAAAACATCGCACTTGTCTTCTAAAAGGAAATTTAGATTGAAATGCAGCACTATTATTCACATCACTAGGTGTGCAGCTACCGATATCGCTTCTTCTCTTCATTTCTTCATTCAATAATCTATTTTTGACAAATTCAATTGTTATCTTATCTGGTGATAAAGTTTCTATCGCAGTAACAACTATATTATAAGATTCCGGTAAAGTTAAAAGCAAAATACAAGCAATCATATCTTCTTCAAGTTTGCCTCCTGCAGATTTGATTTGTCTTACAATATCATCAAATTGTACTAAATGATTTTCCATTGAATCATTATCATTATATTTTATAGTTAATAACTTCTTCAGCAATAATAGTCTGTTCGAAACGCCCGTTCTTTCAAAAGTTGAAATCAATTTATTCCATTTTTCCTTAGCAGTAGAACCCTCTCTTACGTATTCTATATGAGAATCAGCAACACATTGAATTATAATAGATTTTGCTTTAGTATCAAGCTTTTCAAAGTCTTTCTTTTTAGTTTCATCGTCAGGGGGATCTTTTGTAAGGCACTCTGCAACCCCATATTCTTCTAAGATTGACTGGACTCTGAACTTCCACACGCTAAAATTCACTCCATGAAACTGGGTTATGCCAAACTTTTCTTCTTTCTTTCCAGACATATTTGCTAAACAAATCTAAAAGCTGTTCTGGGCCATAACCTCTTGTAATATAAGATATAAGGAAAATCACTGTACTGACATTTTATTTATTTTTTATTGACAACATCAAAATCCTCGCTAGTCCATACTATATCATCTCTTAGATTATATATTATATGATATACAAACTTGTATATCAACAAAAATGACAGAACCATAGTATCACAAAGTAGTATTTTTGTATTTTGATCTAAAACATGGCGATGCGGGTAAAGCATTTTCAAATTAGCGTAAGCTCTTTTTATACAATTATTGACATGGTTTCTAAATTTTAAGTCAGTATCAAGTTGGAAGACCCAGATTTTTGACATCTACACACACAGATAAATGCTCTGTTAGTTCTTTTTTATTTTTACCAAGTACCAGTATTTGTGTTTTTGCGGGATTGATAGAAAAATTTACGATTTTTATTAATTCTGTGTTAATCATTTCATTATTGAGAGCAACATTACAATCAGTTAAAGAAAACCTTATTTGCGTATCATCAGCATTTATATAAACTCTGCCATTGGTAAGAGCTGAACTAAAATTATTAGAGTAAATGCAAAACAAAATTGGTCCCAAAATAGAGCCCTGTGGCACGCCGCAGGCAATATTTTTAATATCAGATCTACCGGTACTTGTCTCAACAAACTGAGAACGATCGGAAAGATAGTTTTTGATAAATTCAGTTGCTTGATCCGAAAAACCAACATAATGAAAAATAAACAGAAGATGGTGGTTAATTGTATCAAAGGCTTTTGTATAATCTATAATCTAGAAGTATTAAGACGTTTGTATTCCCTTTGTCAATATCCCTAAAAAAATCATCAGTGACCTCTAATAATGCTGAAGTACAGCTGTAGCCACGTCTGAAACCAGATTGGCTGATTGGTAAAATATTGTAATTGTTGATGTGAGACTTGTGATATTTATTTACTTTTTCCAGAACTTTTGATAACACTGATAAGATTGAAATGGGTCGTAATTCACTAAAGCTACTAATATTGTTCTTTTTAGGCAATGGAAAACTTTTGTGACTTTTCAAAGGTCTGGAAAAAAGATTCCTTTATACAGGAATTAATAACATTTGCAATGAAAATTAAAATATACGGACAACACATAAGGAACATAGTAATTTGCAAACCATCAATTTCTATAGCCTGCGTTTTAATTTCGTTTAAATACTTATAAATAGTATTTTGATTAACTGTTGTAAAACTTAGCAAGTTACGGAAGTTGTCTTTAAAATTATTACTATAGAAAAGTAGCAAATCTTGGTCAGCATCGGCACAGTTACCAGTGGCCAATGAAAAGTGATTGTTTATGTCATTAGGAAAATTTAGGTTTTCGGGTAACTTATATTTTACAGTTTTAGAATTTATATTTAAATTCTTAAGTTTTTGCCACATACAGTATTGCCTGAAATAGTACACCAGAGTGTACTCAAGGTAAACTCAGTGGAGGTCAAAATAATTCCAGACGGTCACTGCTAGGTATCCACTATACTAGAATAAATAAAAATAAAACACTTATCTTCTTTCTATTATTAAAATTGAAAAGTATTTAAATATTGACGGATCCCTAGGGATATCCGGAAAATTGAATAAAAATGAATTATTAAAGTTGAAAATTATTTAAATATTGACGGATCCCCGTATTCGGAAAATTTAATAAAAATAAATTATTTAAGTTGAAAACCATTCACATATTGACGGATTCCTATATTCAGAAAATTTAATAAAATAAAATTATTAAAACGTAGGGAAATATTTATGGAAAATAAATTATAATTATTGAAAATTATTTAAATATGACGGCAATCAAATGCAACCAAATAAAAAAATGAACTCAAAATTGTCGGAGACCCCTTGTATCTTAATACCCAAGCGATGGAAACGCAAAATTCTCACCTATTGATAAATAAGGTTTATTTACACGGTGTTTTGGACGGCGACCACGACGGTCGTAGAAAATAATATTTTTAAATTTTGCCCAGTCTAACGAGAGCGTATGTGTGAATTTAATTTTACAGAAGTCGTCTGACTTCATTCAATAATTAGTTGTGGACGGAGAACGGAATGATTCAAATGCAATTGAATGAATAAATAAAAGAAAATAATTTTTACACGAAATGAGGCGCGGAAATTACTTAAAACGTCTTTTGGGGAAATTAGATACGTCATCAGGAGAGAGATCACTCTAGCCCGAGAAACGGATCGAACCTCCGGAAAAAGAAAAAAAATAAAATAATAAAAAAAAAATCGAAAACAGGTCGAATCTCTCACTTCGATGTTAACAGGGCGGTTTCTAAAAGAAATTGGATATAGTAGCTGACAAAGAGAACACTCGATGTCTAGTCTAGGTCCAACCTCAAATAAAAAATTGCCAACGGTTTCCCACTAAGGGATGAAATGAAAAATGCGGGGCATGAATCAAAATTATTTCACTTGTCGGACGGGTGTCCCAAACTAATTGTAAATAAAAAAAATAAGCGGTTTCCTACCTTTCGGCTGTCGGCAATCACGAGAGAAGAGCTTACGGAGGCTGTCAAGCGAGAAGAGAGCGTAATTCCCAGATGGGATTTAATTTATGCTTTTTCGGTAAAGCAAGATGGAAACCAGTACGACAAAGTGGGGATACCACTACTACAGCCGACTGTTTACAATTTAAAAATAAAAAAAATGCCCTTATAGTCCTTGACAAATAAAAGGTAGATAATCCATACGAAATCGACTCTAAAAATGCCCATTCGGATTTCGGCAAATATAAGAATATTTTAATCTACGAGAGTACTCGCAATTGTTGAAAAACGGTAATTCCTGGGAAACAGAAATACGGGGGAACTTCTACATGTTCTCAGGCGGGAATTAATTGAAATATACATTTTTAAGATGAATTAAAAATAAAATTTAGTGACAAATGTATATTATTGACATTTTATTACATGTTCCAAATGTGCACCTCCTCGTTTAAAACAGACTTCATAACGACGTTCCAAGTTTAGGAAGAATTGATCATACACGTATCGCAGACTTGCACCATTACGTCGTCGACTGATTCCGTATGAGCGAAAAAAAGACTCTACCAGAAACACTTTCTCCTCTCTACCTAACATCATTCTTAACAATTAGACCCTACTAATTAGTTGTTTAAAGTCTATACTAGCTAACTTGGGTATAACAGCGGGCGCAAAGAGACACCGCCAACTTAGTTTCAGTACTGTTTATTTCGGGCAATACTGTAATACGACTGTTTCTACCAAATGTATCAACGCATATCAATTATTTCTAGCTGACTGATAAATATTTATATAACCGAGGAATAGTTATGTGGCTATTAGACTCGACACTGAAAAGAATAATGAAGTCGAGGCTCATATTTAAGTGACTTTGTTCTTTTTTGGTATTATACAGGCAATGAGAAGTCTTCTCTAACTTGCTATATCCTGTAGATGTGGCGCTTAAATTGATTATGCATTTTAATTTTTCAGTATTTGACGTAACAGCTCCAAACACATTCAAATCTCTAGACAGTTGGAGGGACGAATTTCTCATCCAAGCATCACCTCGTGAACCTGAAAACTTCCCGTTCGTTCTCCTAGGAAACAAAGTGGATCTAGAACCACGCGCCATCTCGGCAAAGAGGGCGCAACAGTGGTGCCAATCAAAAAACAATATCCCCTACTTCGAGACATCTGCCAAAGAAGGTTTAAATGTAGAACAAGCATTTTTGGCCATAGCCAAAAACGCCCTTGCCCAACAAAACTCGACTGTCGATTTATATAATGAATTCCCTGATCAGATCAAGCTAACCAACACGCAGAAAACTAGTAATAATGGTGATAGTTGTGCTTGCTAAATTTTATTTTTGTTCTTTCGGTAATATAAATATATACAACTTTGTAGATCACATTGATGAAATATGTCTATTGTTAATAAACTGTATTCCGATGCCAACTTTTCGACGTGACAAATGGCATAACAGACAGTTAAAGTACCAGTAACCTAATTGTGAGCTGTTAACTCAAAACTGTCAGTTGTCAACTGTCAGTCAACAAAACAGCAACTAATAGAATAAATACTAAAAAAAATATATTTCAAATAAAAACAAACAAATATTTGTGATAATCACTGTGTTTAGTAATAGTAAATAATTTAATAGGGTACCTGTGTGTAGTACTAGTATGAAAAATTCTGTGTACGGTTTATTAACTTTATTAGATATTTTCTGTGACTAACTAAAGGATACATGGACTAATTAATGGCTCATTTATTTATTTTATGATTTTTTTACACCGAAAATTGGGATTTTTCTCTGCTACGGATGTGATAAGTTTAAACTTTGAACTGTAGTGTAAAATAAAAAAAATCTAGAGATATTGTTTTTTTTTTGCTTAATTATGTTAGATCTACTCACTGCAATATTTTTACATGTATATAAAAATAAAAATAATGTTATTTATATTATAGTTGCCTTAAAGTTATTTCTATAATTTTAGTAATATTTGTATGGTTAAATAAATGTTGATTATCGTTTTAATTTGAAGGTTTAGAGGGTCGTAGTTGTTTTTTATTTTTTTACTTGTGATTTAAATATTTTGAAATTATGCAGTCGAAATTGAAAAATAATGAGATATTCTTACAGGTAAGAAAATAGATTAATTTTAAAGTTCTGATCTTGTAATAAATTTTTAAATACCTGTATATTTTCGTTTTTCTTTCTTTACTAGATTTTCTACAAAAAATAACCTAATTTAAAAAAATTACTCATATTTCTTTGGACAAAAAAATAAATTTTGACTTTGATTTTTCCACTCAAAAAAATTCAGAATTTGGCCTTAATTTTGAAAGTTTCTCAGAAATAATATTGTGAAAATATTATTAATCAACATTTCAAAAAGTAAAAATTGGAATTGGTGATTTTAAATTTTAATAAAATGAAACAGTTCTAGTAAAATAAAAAACATCCAGTGCAACCCTCGAAAATAATTATCGCTAAATAAAACTTAGCAATTTTCATATCAAGAATACACTTTCGCCTATACCGTATAGGTAAAAAAAACATCGCAGTGTAAATCTGATTTTGTACAGTATCGTTTTTATAGTTACATGGGCATCGACAAAAAATTGTAGTTGCAAAAATATAGATTCTTTTTCTTTTAAAATATTGTAAGAATAAAAAAATCGATTTATTTTACTGTAGAATACGATGGATTTGTATATTACAAGTAATACTAATGATTTAATAAAGATATAACTGACATTGTTTATTTTATTTAAGATGTAGGTTTCTCTATAAAAAATGTTAAAATATGTGGTAAAAATAAGGGTGCTGATTCTACTTTATATTATTGATGTATTCATTAACATTTTATTTCTATTATTTTCAAGATTGTGTTAATTTTAACAAATAATAATTTAAAACAAAAAAAAAACATGTCGACCTCAACGAGAGCACGGTTTGTTTTATGTTACAAAAAATCTGATGATTTTCTTGTCCTGGATTAAGAAGTAAAACGGCAGATTTTTACTGTAATGTAATATCTAGTAACTTTGATATTGTCTAAACGGTAGAAACTTGGTTAAAGGAGGATATTTGGGATAATGAACTATTTGACACAGATATACAGGGTGTCCCGAAATTAGACGGTCATATTTTAACAGCGTAATCTACATCCTAAAATAGGAGTAAAAGTTTATATAAACAAAGGTCCGAAAACGTTTCTTTTTCGAGATACAGGGTGTTAAAAGTGAAGTCCTGATGACACATTTTTGTAAATATTTTCTAAACGCTTAAAGATAACTAAATGAAATTTGGTACAAATGCTAACCTTTTTACGCTCTAAATCTTAGTTTTTGATCATCTTCATAGATGGGTAAATTAGGGGGGGGGCTTAAGGTAAAATTGCCCTAAGTTTTTTTATTGTCAGTTTTTAACATTTTTGACTAAAAAATTTGGAAACCCAATGTTTTTTTTACAATAAAGCTACTCTTGCTGCATCTCGCTAGGACGCACCATTTTCAAGAGAAAAGCATTTGAAAATTTCATGATAAATTCATATTATCTTATTCGAAAGTGCAAACAAAAATTAGTAGGCCTGGAATCCAATAGCTGCTTTTCAATTTTTTTGAGACGCTGTGATAAACAAAAATTGGCCGTCAATTGTGTAATTATTTGTACTTTTTTTTGCGTGAAAGAAAAATACTTCTAATAAATGGAGAGATTTTCAAATAGAGAATTGGCAGATATTCATTTTGTATATGGTTTGTGTAATGGAAGGGCAAGAGCAGCGGTTCGAGCATACCGTAGACGGTTTCCTAACCGAAGAATTCCTGACTACCGTGTATTTATTAATACACATAGAAATTTGGTTGACCATGGTTCATTTCAACGTGATCGTGGACAAGGGAGACCACATGGGAACAACAATTTGGAGCACGCCCTTAATTTATTTGAAGAGGACCCAAGAAGGAGTATTCGAACTGTTTTCACCCTTTTATAAATACCACGAGCAATAGTAAGTAATAATTACTTCCCTTTTTCTTTATACTATTTTGTGATTCTTAGTTTTTATTGTTCAAATTTACAAGTACAAGTATTAAAAATTTAAACAAACCGACTTCAAAAACGTGCAGATGCCATCACCACATCTTAACCAAATTTATATGGGACTTCCCCTGAGGTATCCCCTTACAAACAAAAAAAATAATCATATAAATCGGACAAGGTGGTAAAGCATTATCGCTAAACATACATAAAAAATGAAGAGTTTGAGGATTTTCTCGTGGACCTAATTATTAGATTTTGACCAAATTTATATGGGACCACTCCTGTAGTACCCCCTTTCATTGAAATCGGACACCGTGTTAAAGAATTATCGCTGAACATACATAAAAAAAATATCGCGACGAATTGAGAACCTCCTCCTTTTTTGAAGTCTGTTAAAAATAACACAAACAAGTTTCAGATTAAAGGCATTTTTAAATTCTTACTTTAGTTTACGTGGCTTTTAAAAAATATGGTCATTTAGGTTGGAAGAATGTTAAGAATGCAGGGAATTCATCCCTATCATTATCAGCGTGTTCAAGCCTTAAGACCCCACGACTTTTTACCACGAATGGAGTTTAGTGAATGGATAAGAAACCATCAGGAACTGCTTCTTTTTATTATGTGGAGCGACGAGTCTACATTTAATAGAGATGGTATTTTTAATATTCACAATCACCATTTTTATTCACAAGAAAATCCTCGGGTGGTGCGACGTCGATTTTTTCAAGATAGATTTTCTATTAATGTTTGGGCGGCAATAATCAATAACAGATTAATTGGGCCGATTGAAATTCCTGCTCGGTTAAATGCAATCGAGTATCTGAATTTTTTACAAACCCACCTTGAACCCATTCTGGATAATCTCCCATTAAATATTCGACATCAGCTGCACTTTCAGCACGACGGAGCGCCAGCCCATTATGGCGTTAATGTGAGAAATTGGCTAAATGAAAGATTTCCGGGTAGATGGATAGGAAGAGGTGGTCCCATACCGTGGCCAGCTCGATCTCCGGATTTAAATCTATTAGATTATTACTTTTGGGGTCGTATAAAAGATATGGTATACGCTACAAAAGTTGACAGTGCGGAAGAGTTGCGTGGAAGGATACGTTTGGCAGGGAATGAAATACGGCAAAATAATTTTGAAGTGATGCGAGCTTCACATGCAATTACCCGTAGAGCCGAAATGTGCCTTCGTCAGCAAGGTAACGTTTTTGAACACTTCAAATCAAATCAAATTTATTCATTAAAATAATTTACATTTTTTTAACAATTTTTTAAGACCCGCCTAAACAAAGTTTGTGTGCGAAATCTTTATATTAGTTTTTTTTTACGTTTTATAAATGCTGTTTAAATTATATATAAGTATATACTATAGAAACAAAAACAAAGAATTTAGAATTTTAAAATACAACAAAAAAAAAGAAAAAGATAGAGAAATATGGAAATACAAAAATCAAAACAATTTATTAAATGTTGTATAAATTGATATTTTTATTAGAATTTTTGTTATTTTTAATAGAATTTTTGTTATTTTTAGTAGAATTTTTAGTATTATAGACAAAAACAATTTTTGAGAATCATTTGTTTATCGTCGTCATTTTGACCTATTTTAAGTCATCCTTAGGAAAATAAAAGTAGATACTTCACGTTAAAAAGCTTAAAATTATTATCAAATAGCATTTGCAATAATTAAAAGTAGGTACTAATGATTTCTTCTCTAACTCAGTCAAACTTCAAATTTTCAAGAAATTACCCAGCTATTCTTAATTTCAAATACAGTTTTGCTATAATTTTACGATATTTAACGTATCTGACTTATTTTTACCATCCTAAGGATTACCCTAAAAGAGTTTAAACGTCGGCAGTTAAAGAAATAAATTCTCATCAATCATTTTATTGGGCAAAAGCCAACCAAACCATTAAAAAAACAATTGATTAGTTTTAAGTTTAAATACTATTTAGTTTTAACATTTAAAGTTTCTTTATAAAATAAACATTAAATTAAAGCTAAATACATTTCTTTAGTCACCGGTTTTCCAAACCTGAAAAAAAAATTCTGATTCCACAGGCCTGCTAATTATTGTTTGCACTTTCGAATAAAATAATATGAACTTATAAAATTTTCAAATGCTTCTTGAAAATGGTGCGTCCTAGCGAGATGCAACAAGAGTAGCTTTATTGTAAAGAAAACATTGGGTTTCCAAATTTTTTAGTCAAAAATGTTAAAAACTGACAACAAAAAAACTTAGGGCAATTTTACCTTAAGCCCCCCCCCCTAATTTACCCATCTATGAAGATGATCAAAA